TGAGATCATGACCTGAGCTGAAGGCAGAGGCTTAACCCACTGAGCCACCCAGGCAGCCCCAATTTTGCCCTTCTTTTTAAGAAGATTCCCAATTCCTCTACAGTTATGGTTCACCCACTCATTTTCAATATGCTCCAAGTCCTTGGTCAGGATAAACCCTACTCCTCCTGAAGAATATCTATTATGTTAGAACTGCACATAAACTTTTGCTAGCAATAAACACAAAATAGATAACAGAAAATGATGTTATTATACTATGTATTTCTTCCCTTTTGGCCTTTATAGTCCACTGAGCTTTCTTCTGTATCCTTTCCACTGGATACCTCTCTCCATTTTTAATCAGCTTCTTTTTAATACAGGAGCTCCTTCTCTACCACACTTAGTGAATGGGCACAGCGAGTTAAAAATGTATGCCTCAACTTAACTCTTCTGCCTTTTCAGAATTAACAACCACCCTCAGCAAAACAAAACAAAATGAACAAAAACAAAAACTTAGACTCTGGGAAATAATCCAACTTGTTCAAAACTTTGATTACTTTTCTCCAATGGTGTATCTATTGGAGTCTTCTTCTTCTGTGGTTCTATGTGGCTATTAAAAAAATGCCTGAGGGGCACCTGGGTGGCTCAGTGGGTTAAAGCCTCTGCCTTTGGCTCAGGTCGTGATCCCAGGGTCCTGGGATCGAGCCCCGCATCGGGCTCTCTGCTCAGCAGGGAGTCTGCTTCCTCCTCTCTCTCTGTCTGCCTCTCTGCCTACTTGTGAGCTCTCTCTTTCTCTGTCAAATAAATAAATAAAATCTTTAAAAAAAAAAAAATGCCTGAGTCAGCAAGACTGCCCACCTACTGGAAGCCAAAACTGAAAACAGATAGCAGAAACTGCTTAATCACTGTCACCCTCATTTCCAGTGATAGTCAAGGCTCTCTGATCAGGTACCACAGCTTGCTCCCTTCATCTTCATTTTCTAAAATCTTTCTACATGTATAAACTGTGTTTTCTTCGCTGATACTACAATTTCTTTAAGTCTGGCAAGCATTCTCTTCTCCTAAGATCCAACATTCACATCACAAAGAGACCACAGTACAATGGCAAGCTCATGCCACATCCCTCTGTGGTTTTTATTTCTAGCCCCCTCGCCCCACCCCCCCCACCAATCACTAGGCTTGGAGATGGGAGTCCTCTCATTTTTCAATAGCCTGCCTGATACCGTTCATGGCCTGTCTAATCTAAAATCCTTCTGTGGCCTAAACTAACAAGATTATCTCTATCTCCTCTTAAAAATTATTTTAACGTCACTCTCTCTCTTTCTCATAACCATTCAGTCATCTTCTATTCCCTCAGAGCATTCTACCAAGGCTTTCCAAACAGGAGTGCTAGGAGGCCCCTGGGCCTGCTTCTCAGTGTTGAAAAACCACGTTTCCAAGTCTGCAAGCCAGATCCTAGGCTATGGCAAATCCACCAAGATAATACTACTCTTTGAAACACCTTTAGGAAGGCAACCAACTGGCTTCTCCTGAAGATAGAGAGCACTTTCAAAATGTCAGTAACTGGCACATGTCTACAAGGACAGTTTCTACTCTTCTAATATTTCTCCATCTCTTTGTATTAATTTACCATTATTCTCTCATTGAGCTAGTTACTTTTGGTTTTACAGTTCTATCTACCCATGAAGGATGGGGTCATGTCTGTTCCAAGTTCTTCTTCAAACTATCCCACCATTTACTGAAATATGGAATAAGCTATCTAAGTATGTACCATGCTAGGTGCCAAGAAGAACTGAAAAAATAGATAATGCAATCTGGATGAGAAGAAAAATCTGTACACAAACTCAGAAATATAAGGGGCAGGAACAAAAGAGTAGGCTGTGTCCTAACTAGATCTGTGTATATAATTAGCTGTTCTGCCACTTCTCTCTGCCTTAACACCATTCTTTTCTGCCTTCTTTCCACTGTCTACTACTTGTAAATGATAGTTAATGCTCTCCAAAGTTCCTCCATGGCCTCTATCTATACTAATTTCTATAGTTGGCCCCTGCCTCCTTAAAACCTTAACGGCCTAGCCTGCCTTATGGAACTGCTGCAGCCCCTCCTGAGGGTTCCAGAACCTGCCTCCCAGCATGTGTCAGCAGAAGGTGCCAAACAAAAGATACTCTCTGCCTTGTATCTGACCCAGAATTCTCCAAACTGATGTCCCATATTTTTCAACTTTTGCTACAAGCTGAATGAAGTGAATTCTCTATACCTTGCACATTAAGGATATTGAGGAAATACCTGCTTTGTATCTACCAGTAAAGGGCAAGAACTGGAAAAGTCTGAGTTGCTGTAAGAGACATTTCTATTAAGCTATCATTTCAAAACGTTGGTTCTGTAGAACTCCAATTTTGTGGGTTTTAGTGTTTTTGGGGGGATGGGGACAAGAATAAGGATTCTTTGGTCAAATACACATGGGAATCAAGAGTTTGGCCAAGTTAAATGAGTTTCTTTAGGATTGCTGATGACCCCTGGAATGTGCTAAAGTCTCTTGGAGAAGAACATTCAGGGGACATCATGTGAAGCATTTTTCATGTAACCTTTTGATTCCATATCCTTTTCTTCCACAAAGCACTTCCAGGCCTCGATCCCTCCTCTGTAAAATGAGTACTTATTTCATAGGGTTATAATGAGGATTTAGTAAGTTAATACACGTAAAATGCTGAGAACAATGCTAAGTACATAATAAGCACTCAAGAAGAGTTGACTATAACTGCCACTACATTCCCCATGCTGACACTATTTAATATGCCAATATTCCCGAAAGAATGAAGTTTTGAAAAAAATTTTTACTTTGCAGGAGTTTCCACTGTTAATACCAAGTAGACAGAATGAGCCCTCCTTTTGCCTGAGAGGCACTGCTTGAGGCTCCAAATAACAGAAAACATTCATACAAAAATGATATATAAGATAAAGTTATCAGTAGGAAACAGATCTTACAGAAAAAGCACAAAGTGAAAAGGTGTTATAAATTTTCTTCATTCCAAAAGGAAAAAGCCTCGAGTACTTTGAGAGCTGAGGTGGTCTAAATGCTCAGCACAGTCTCTGGCAAACAATAAGTACTCAATAAAAGTTTGATGAGCCTGAGAAATTGTGGATAAATGACTATTACCTTGAACAGCTCAAATATATTTCCAAATCACTACAAACTACTGGGAAACCCATACATTTCTCTGTTTAGGATCCCTTACTCTTCTCTATAGATGTTTAATCGTATAGGTGAAATATGAAAGTAGATAGAAGAGTGGTTGCCATATTCTGTTTAAGAGTTATCAGTGGTACTTGGCAGAATTTAATCCCCCAAGTATGTCAAAATCTAACATCTGCTAATAAAATAAAATAAAATAAAATAAAACAACTGTAAAGGTAATGTGCGCCTTACACAGTGGTACTATTTGAGGGTTTTTTTTTTTTAATTAATATATAATGTATTATTAGCCCCAGGGGTACAGGTCTGTGAATCGCCAGGTTTACACATTTCACCGCACTCACCATAGCACATACCCTCCCCAATGTCCATAACCCAGCCACCCTATCCCTACCTCCCTACCCCCAGCAACCCTCAGTTTGTTTCCTGAGATTAAGAGTCTCTTACGGTTTGTCTCCCTCTCCAGTCCCATCTTGTTTCATTTTTTTCCCTCCCTTCCCCCCACGACCCCCCACCTTACCTCTCAAATTCCTCTTATCAGAGAGATCATATGGTAACTGTCTTTCTCTGATTGACTTATTTCGTTTAGCATAGTACCCTCTAGTTCCATCCACGTATTTGACATCTTTTAAAGCTACAGTACCTACTTGTCTCATCTTTATAATTTATACAGGAATTTATCATTTATAAACTTACACAGGAATCTATCTCTACATGTTCATCTGAGCTAGTTTCAGAACTTTGAAAGCTTTTTAAGAACTGATAAATGATCAGAAAGAAACTAAGCTACGAAGAATTAAATCGGTAAAAAATTGGTGCATTTTATAAAAATCAACAAGAATCTTCCCAACTATTTTTTTTCCTGAAAACAATGATCTCAAATACTTCTAATTTTAAAATACCAGAATTTTATCGCTAGAACCTCACACCAGTATCACTGTTCCTATCACCCAGTTTCTTTCCTTTATTTTATGAGCTTTTCTTTCTTCTTTAAAACCTGATAATCCTCACATTAAAAAATTCTAGGACAGGGGTCGGCAAATTATGGCCAAGATCCAAATATGGCTTGCTGCCCATTTTATACAACAGATGGCCAACATGGGTTTTTTGGGTTTTGTTGTTGTTTTGTTTTTTTTACATTTTTAAAGGGCTACAAAATAAATCAAAGAAGAATATGCAGCAGAGCTCCTATGTGGCTCACAAAACCCAAAATATTTACTCTGGCCCTTTACAAAAAACTCTGCCGATCCTGCTCTAGGGTACCACAGTTTACTCAGTAATTCAAGATAATTCATAACAATAGCAAGTTCATAATGCACCATTACATTTTACAGTGACAATTAGCACAAAACTCCTTCATAACAATATTTGTGGTCTTCATGCATATCATTTAGTTCCAATAACCAATTAAGTTGTTTTTTTAAAATGCTAGCATAGAACCCCACAAAGTACGGAAGTTCAAATATCAAACTCAGACCACCTGAACGATAGTACTTCCCGTTATAATGCTAGTCTAAAGTAGTAGAATAAGCTTGGATATAGGAAACCTCTTTCCTCTCTTGGGAACTCAGATCAACTGATAAGCAAAGAAAGCTCAAACCATTTTCTCCTATTTGTACATCCTCCATTCTTACTTAGTTAAAAGGAAGAAAATATTTCTCCCTTGCTTTTCTCTGAAGTCTCTGAAAGTGAGCGGTATAGATGTACGTACGTATGTACATACGCATGTATATGTGTGTATCTCAAAATCTCAAATGTGTTTTCTAATTACATTTTCTTATAGAGAGTTCTCTCCAAATACTCAAAAGAAAACAAACACAGAACTTACTCCAGAGCAGGTCTCAGAACTCTGACTTTTAATGCTTCTAATATTCGATTTAACTCCACAAATGGTTCTTTCTGACTTGGGTCTACAGAAAGACCAGATTCCTGAAAAAAATAGAATGAACTTTTGTTAGCAGTAATAAGGTAGAGAGATATGGTAAAAACATATTCTAAATTACAAACTATGGGTTAGCCATTAAAAATAATTTAACATGTATTTCTATGGTACAGACTAATGAGTGAGCCCTACCATCATTCTTTCCAATAGCAGTAGAATCCCTATGTATTCCATACAAAGTCAAGTACGTAACCGTATGGAATAAAGCTGGGTATGACTTTGTGAGAGTAAATTCTGGCCAGTGAAACATAAACATGTACTCTTAGCCCCTTTCTGGAATACCAAAAGGTGCAGCTAGATTTCTGGCTGCTGTCCTGGATCATAAGGACAGTGGACACCTAAGGAACAGCAGAGCTACAAGGAAGCTAGGGCCCTGAAAGCCTCCTGCAGCATAGCTACTATATATGCTGTGAATGGCTCACCACCACTTATTTCTTTGCAAGAGAAACAAACTTTTTTTTTTTTTTTTTTAAGTCACTGGTATTTTGGGTCTTTGTTACTTATAAATAAACTTAATCCTAAGTGACATAACTCCCTTCAGGAAATTTACAAGGAAACATACAAAATTCCTGTAAGGTACAGAGAAAGACCTGAGTTATCGTTTTTCTGAATTGTTTAAAATAGAAGGTGTGCCTGGCTGGCTCAGTTGGTAGAGCATTCAACTCTTGATCTTGGGGTTGTGAGTTTGAGACCCACACTGGCTATATGGAGATTACATAAAAATAAAATATTTAAAAAAATAAAATAAAATAGAAAAGGCTTAAAGGTTTGGTTTACAGACTGGGTTTAAACTATTTTATCTTTATAGTCCTTCATTCTTCTAAATGGAAAACACAATAGTTCATGGTGGCTTAGAACAGAGTCTGAGGATGTCAATTTTGGACTGAATCCTAGTTCCTTCACTAAGGAACACGTATGGTCTTGGGCAAAGCCACTTCTCCAGACCTCAGCTTCCTTATCTACAGAATGGAAGCAATTTCTAGCAACTTCTACCTCACAGGATTGTGGTGAGGAATAAAGGCAGGGGTTGGCTTGTGGACTCAATACACGGCAGCTGCCCCCATTATGACTAGGTGATCCTGGTAAACTATTCTGAGATCCCTAAGCTCATGTCTACTAGCAATAAAAGACAAAAGCTGCTCACCTGAAGTAAGTTTTAGCTTAAAACTCATTTGATACACAAAATGCTACAAGTTGGGCCAGATTCTTTTCTTCTCTGCTATCCTATTCTCCCTATTTAAAAGAGGAAATGGAGAGAGTAGTATTACTTTTGACCCCTTGGTTGATGGGCTGGGATCAATGTGGATAGGGCAGGAATAAGGAAAAAACAATTCAAATAAGAAGTTTTAGGATTGTCATTTTCACCAATTAAAAAAAAAAAAAAAGACCTCCTAGTAAAATGAGGTCAGGATACTTAAAATATTAAAAATCTATCTACAGCCAGAAGAAGATTCAAAGACTTCAAGGAGCCCCGTCGTTTCTGTTTCATCTCCTCACACGCCGGCACACAGTTACCTGGCAGAGCTCTTCAGCTACATCCAGCATTCCTTGTCGAAAGAAGTGCTCCACCATCACCTCATTGAGAAGCCTCTGACTGTCTGCCTGCCAGCAGCCATCTATTCCCACACTGCTAATGTCAGAATCAAAATTCTGAAAAAAAAAAAAAAAAAGAAAAGAAAAGAAAAAAAAATGATTCATGAGTTGACTAGGATATATCACTTCATATGATTTTCACCCCACCTAACAGAAAGAGTGCCCTTCGTTTCACTCAAATATCCCCAGTAAGGACCCAATTCAAATCATCTGCAGCCTATGAAAGAAGTTGTTTTTCCACTGCTCTTTTCTAAAACTTGTCACTCTCATTGACTGATCATTGTTAGAAGAGTAAAGGAGTACATTTTCAGAGGGTATTTTGGGAAAATACATACATTGAATGATTTCTGTGAATAAACTGGTTTCTACACAATACAGTAATATTTTCAGGTGTACAGTGCTACCTATAAAAACATATTCAATGCAGCATTGTCTAACTGGAAAAGAGAGAAAACCACTATGTCCAACATAGATTAAATAATCAAGGCACAGCCCAACAACTGTCATGCCAAGGTAGAGGATGGGGGTGGGAGAATGGCCAGGTAATTAAGAGAGCAGGCTCTGAGTCCAATCTACCTGGGTTTGAATCCTGGGTTCTCTAACTAGCTCTGTGATCTTGGCCAAATCAGTCAAGGTTTTTGAGACTTACCTGCCTTATCTTAAGTGGAGAAAATAACAATACCTTCCTATTATGGGCTGCATCTTAAAATTCCCATGTTCAAGTCCTAATTCCCAGTACCTCATTAAATTAAGATGAGGTCATTATGGTGGGCCCTAATCCAACAAGACTGGTATCCTTATAAAAAGAAAAAATTAGAGGACACAATAAGAACAGAAAAAAGACCCATGTATTATGGACTGAATATCTATATGTAATCCACACCCCCGCCACACACACACTTCAAATTCCTACACTGAAGCCCTAACCAGCAATGTGGCCATATTTGGAGATGGTTTGTGAGGAGGAGATAAAGGTTAAATGAAGTCATAAAGGTGCGGCCCTAATCCAGTAGTGCCTGTGCTCTTACAAGACAAGAGAAAAACACCAGAGTGTTCTCTCTCTACCCTGTGAGGACAAAGTGAGAAGGCAGTCATCTATAAGCCAGGAAGGAGGTTGTCTGCCCTCAATAGGAAATGAATTGGCCAGCACCTTGATCTTGGACTTCCCAACCTCCAGAACTGTGCAAAAAATAAGTTTCTATTGTTTAAACAACCTATGGTATTTTGTTTTGGCAGCTCAAACAGAATAAGACCCCATGTGAAGATACCAGAAGATGGCTATCTACCAGCCAAGAAGACAGACTTCAGAAGAAACCAACCCTGCCAACACCTTGATCTTGAACTTCTAATCTCCACAGCTGTGGAGAAATAAAGGTCTGTTTAAGCCACCCAGTCTGTGGCATTTTGTTATAGCAGCCCTAGCAAATTAATATACTCCTTTATTGGTTAAATGAAATGGTAGTTGCTACTATTCTAATATTAGTATTCATAAGGAAAAAGTGAGGTTCATTACTATATATCTACTAATATGGAAAAATGGCCATGACATCTTCAGTGAAAAAAAGTAAGTTTTACAAAATTATGACCCCATTTTTTTTTTTTTTTAAGATTTTATTTATTTATTTGTCAGAGAGAGAGAGGGAGAGAGAGCAAGCACAGGCAGACAGAATGGCAGGCAGAGGCAGAGGGAGAAGCAGGCTCCCTGATGAGCAAGGAGCCCGATGTGGGACTTGATCCCAGGACGCCGGGATCATGACCTGAGCCGAAGGCAGCTGCTTAACCAACTGAGCCACCCAGGCGTCCCTGTTTTTTTTTTTTAAAAGGGAATACTTGCAAATGGTTAGGAGAAAATCCAAAAGAATATACATTAAAGTATTAACAGAGATTATCACTGGAGATTACCACTTTCCACACGAGTAAATATTTCTTTTATGATAAACTAGAAGATTTTTTAAAAAACACCTATGTAAAGAGTTCCAATTTGGGTACAGTATGTAAGCACATTCCACCTTATCTGTCCCACTGAATGCAGTTATAAAATCAGGACAGAATGAAGGCAGCAGCTATTTGAGGACACTTAAAGAGTGATTATAGATCTTCCTCCATTTACGATGGGGTTAAATCCTGATAAATATAATGTAAACTGAAAATAACGTAAACTGAAAATGCATTTAATATAGCTAACCTACTGAACACCCTAGCTTAGCCTAGCCTATCTTAAACATGCTCAGAATGCTTACATTAGCCTACAGTGGGTAAAATCATCTAACACAAAACCCTTTTTACAACAAAGTATTGACTATCTCATGTAATCTATTCAATACTGTAATGAAAGTGAAAACCAGAATGGAATACGAATATAAAATGGTTCTAAGTGTACTGGTTGTCTACCCTTAGGACCACATGGCTGACTGGGAGGTACAGCTCAGTGCTGCTGCCCAGCATTCCCAAGAGTAACAGACACAGTATTGCCAGCCCTGAAAAAGATCAAAATTTAAAATTTCAAGTGCAGTTTCTACCGAATGCATATCGCTTTCACACCATCATAAAGTAAAAGAAAATTGTAAGTTTAATCATCCCAAATTAGGGGCCATCTACAGTATTAAGTGAATTGGGAAGGGGGTCACAGGACTAGTGGTGAGTTTACTACCTTTCTCCCTCTAATACCTCTCAGCCTGGATGCAATACAGCCAAAACACAGAACTAGGCACCCAGAATGTGGACTGAGAGTTCCAGGGGAAGCCCTCTAGTTCTAGCATGAGAAACAGGAATGGGTTTCTTCTGTCACCCAGAGAGGAAGGGAAATCACATGGTTTTTCCCTCCATTTTCTTACACCTCTAGCTCAAAGCAGTCTGATGGTACATTAGTTTTTTACTGCAACTTAAATCAACACAATTTTATCTCACAGCTTGACAGATCAGAAGACCAACATGCTCACACCGTTTCTCTGCTCCAGGTCCCAAAAAGCTGAAATCAAGGTGCCAGTGACCTAGGCTCTTATCTGGAGACTACAACATGAATCTGCCTCCAGGCTCGTTCAGGTTGTTGCAGAATGCAGTTCCATGCAGTTTTAAGACCAGGGTCCTTGATTCCTAACTGGCTGTAGGAGTTTGTTCTCAGCTTCTAGAAGCCACTCACATTCCCTTGCTCACGGCCCCATCTATCTTCAAAAGCCAACAACAGAGGTGACATCCCTCACACTCTGAATCTGCTTTCTTCTCTACCAACCTCTACTGTTTTTAAGGGCTCCTGTAAATTATTCCAGGCTCACCTAGATAATGTCCCTATTTTAAGATCAACTGCTTAGTAACCTTAATTATACCTGCAAAGTCCCTTCAAAGTACCTAGATAAATGTTTGAATAACCAGTCTACTACAGCAGGCAACCTAAAACTCAGGCACAGGGAGTTCTTCCTCTCCAATTAGAGGAGCTGAGGTCCCAAGAAGGGGAAAAAACTTCTACTGCATCTTTGCTTTCTGTCCTTCCACCACCTAGCCCCACATACAGGTATAGTCACAGTAAATATACAGAAAGTAGGGTAAACAAAGCCCCAGTTTTCTGGCCAAATGACCAAAAAAGTGGCCCCGGAGAACCCTAAAGTCCCAGTGAGATCATAGAGAGGGAAGAATTCAGAAAAGTGACCCCTTAAAGTTGTTTATGAACTCCTGGGCTCACTCTCCAGTTGCACATGCATGGGCTGACCCTAAGCAACATACCAGACCCTAAAAACTGAATTAGGGGACAGAACTAGATTCCAGGTGCCAGAATGGCCACTGGTTGACACACAAATAAGACATTTCTGAATAGCTTGGACACTGAAACCACAACTCACAGAAGACTGATCAGAACTTGTAGCCTGAACTCAACCAGGTTAATCGTCTGCTAAAAGAAAAATATCAACATTCTCCATAGTATTTAAACAAGACCCTGAGTCTTCTAACATAATACAGGTGACCCTTGAACAATTTGGGTTTGAACACAGATCCACTGCCACAGGAATTTTTTTTCTGATGAACACACTATAGCACTGTATATGTATTTTCTCTTATGATTTTCTTAATAACATCTTCTCTTCTCTAGCTTACTTTATTCTAAGACTACAGTACATAACAAATATACAAAATATGTGTTTATCAACTGTTTATCAGTAAGGCTTCCACCCAACAGTAAGTTATCAGTAGTTAAGTTTTGGGGGAGTCAAAAGTTTTATGTGGATTTTCAACTGTGCAGGGTGTTGTTCCAGGGTCAATTGTATTAAAAATGTCCAAGATTCGAGCCAAAATCATCTGTCAAAGAACCAAGAAAATCTCATATGTGAATAGATGGTTCAACAGACATCAATGCCAAGATGACAAAGATACTTGAAATCATTATTTTTTTTTTTTAAAGATTTTATTTATTTAACTGTGAGAGAGAAAGAGCATGAGCAGGAGGAGTGGGAGAGGGAGAAACAGACTCCCCGTCGAGCAGGCAGCCTGACATGGAGCTCAATGCCAGGACTCTGGGATCATGACCAGAGCCAAAGGCAGATGCCCAACTGACTGAGCCATCCAGGTGCCCCCATTAAACACTTTAAAGTTTTAAAAACTGCTTTATAAAGGAAGAGCAAACACTTTCAAACAAAAGACAGAAAGTCTGAGCAAAGACAGAAGACACAGTAATCAAAAGAAAAAACTCGTTGAATGGACTCAGGATCAGGATGGAGGTGAAAAAGCCGGTATCAACAGAAATTATCTAATCGAAACATTAATAAAATAGACTGAAAAAAATGAACAGAGCCTCATAGACCCACAGGACAAGACATCTAACATGCATGTCATCCCAGTACCAGAAGGAAAAGAGAGAGTAATGGAGAAAAAATAAAGAATATTTCCTGAACTTAGCAAAAGACATAAGCCTACAGATTCAAGAAGCTCAGCAAACTCGTAAAAGGATAAACTCAAAGAAATCCACACCCAGACACCTCACAAGCAAACTGCTGAAAACTAAAGACAAAGAAAAAAAATCTTGCAAGTGGCTAGAGAAAAGTGATGCATTGCTTATAGAATTCTCCACA